TTTTGGTTCCTGTCCTGGAACTAGCTCTTGTAGACCAGGCTGGTCTCGAACTCACAGAGATCCGCCTGCCTCTGCCTCCCAAGTGCTGGGATTAAAGGCGTGTGCCACCACCGCCCGACTTTTAAGTCCTGGGTTCTATACAGCAGGCCGAACAAACCATGTGAAGCAAGCTAGTAAGCAGCACCCCTCCATGGTCTCTACATCACCTCCTGCCTTCTAGGATCTTGCCCTGTTTGAGTTCCTATCCTGACTTCCTTCAATATTAAACAGTGACTTGAAAACTAAGCCAAATAAACTTTTTCCTCCCCAAGTCATGGTGCTTCATCACAGCGACGATAACCCCGACTAGGACATGCTATCTCTGCTGTCTCCTGAGACTTTGAACTTCTTACCTAAGTTGTCCTGGAGCAGCTCCTTCTCCAGCAGCACCAGCCTGTGCTTGGCCTCAGCCCCTGCATCTGTCTCGGCAAGATGATAGTCTTAAGTTATCCTGATCCTGGTTCCACCCCATCTTCCTCCAACACCTGAACTTCCTGCGTGATGGAGGAAGGTCACAGGATGAGGGATGCCCAGTGGCAAAATCTGACAAAGTCACAGCTGACCCTTTGCTCCCGTGTGCATGGCGGGTGCTCAAAACGTGGCAAAGGCAAAGAGCTAGAAGGGGCTTCAGGAGGACTTTGGGAGGAAGGCATTCTCCAGTTCCTCAGTCCTGTGGAATCTGGACTCGAGGCTCTGAAGAGGAGGGCAAGAAAGCTTTGCCCTAGCCAAGTGAGGCGGCAATGCCTGTAAGCCTGGCATTAAGAACACTGGGCAAAGGATACGTTTGAGGCTGGCCTGGGTCCCATAGTGACCCTGTATCAAAAGGACAACAGACAAAACCAAACGAAGCCACTTCATCTTGTTGCCCAGAGGACTGGATTCCTCCTGAGGACCTTTGTGTCCTGGACACACACCGTGACTCACCAGGACTTGAGTTTTTTTTCTTCTTCTGTGCCCCAGTTTTTCTCCCCTTTCCTTTGGTTTTAGGCGGCATCATTGCTGTCCTGGGGGAGGGAAGACCTTCTGTGTAGGTCTGTATTCAGAGAAGCTCTCCTGACTCCTAGACAGAGGTGGGAGTCTCAGGACAGTCAGAATTCTAGTCTCTCAGCGTATCTTACACTTTCTAGAAGCTTCGGTTCTTGGCCTCCTGGGAACCTCAGGCAGGGCTGGGGTGGGGGAGAACTGTGGGTGCAGTCAGCTCTTGTAAAGATGTCTCTCCCCAGCATGCTTACTCTTTCCCTTCCTACCTGTAGGACCGGCTCTCGCTTGTGTGGTGTCTCCATGGGGAATGACACTCCTTGGGGAGGGCAAAGAGAGTCCCTGGGCAGATTGAGCCCAGGGAGGAGCCTGGGTCCTGTAAGCCAATCCAGGGTGAAAAACTTCCCCGAGGGGCAGGACCAAGAACTGGGATGTTGGTTTTCTGGAGACTGCCTGCTGTCTGGGCAACTGGGAAACACTGTGTTCATAGGCAGGTAGGATGGGCTAAATCGGCTCACATAAACACCCTTTACGTAGCTTCTCCTGTTACTCCCAAATCCTAGCCCTAAAAAGAAAAAGGCTTTGGAGCTGAATAGCTATTAGTCATGTCTCACTGCCTGTCATCTGGAGACTTTCCAGTCTAGAATTTGAGAAGCGTCCAGTCTGAGATGATCGTGCTTTACAGAAGGAGAGGAAAGGCAGGGGGAGGAGCCGGCACAGGAACTGCACATCCCGAGGCCTCATACAGCCACATGATTTACGTTAGAACTTGAGGTCCACTTCAGAAAGGCTATGGTGTGCGCGAAACACGTGCTGGCACAAGTGGTTGAGAGAGTTTTCCACGTAAGAGAACAGAGAAGAGGTAGAGCCATGGATTTCGGGATGCTGTCCCAGAGGGGAGGCCACAGATTAGTCAGTCAGGGGTTGAGCTAGTTAATTTGGCCCAGCCTGAATGCCTTGGTGTGTAAGTTTCGTAGCTCCTGAAAACCCTAGACTTAGTGGTATGTTTACGAGACTCCTTCCTCGCCCAGTCAATTATGTCTCACTCTATGAGGTTAATCTGCAGACAGGTGTTCAGAAGCCCCCAAGTTTCCCGCAGCACAGAGTTGGTTAGGGCTCCCTCTAGTGGACTCACTTGTCCCGAGTCTCCTAAATTTTGCAGCTTATTATTTCTTGGGCGTTATGGGGGGGGGAGGGTCCCTGGGGGGGAGGGTCCCTTTGGGGAATTCTTTCTAAAATCTTGTGTGTGATTAAAAAATTGACTGTGGGCAGAGAGTGTGACTGGTAGCTTGCTATTGCCCCCTCCAGTCGGGAGGGCTCCATCCTGGAACCGTGCCATCGCTGGGCATCATAATGGCATCATACATAGAATGAAACAGCAAACCTTTCTCCCGGAGGAGTATGGGATCTACAGACTCTTTTTAGGCACCTCTGTCTATCCCAGTCCCTCCAGTTTTGGTCAATTGCATATTATCAGAAGCGTATCTGCAGAAACACGTATAAGATGTGGGAGTAAAATGCATATTTATTTAACGTCATGACACTGTAGAGATCTTAGGAGAGATTTTTAATTGTAATTTTTAGTTATGTTATATGTGTGTGGGTTTGGGCACGTGAGGCTAGAGGAGCGCAGTGGAGCCCCTGGAGCTGGTGCTACAGGCGGTTGTGAGCAGCCGTCAGTGTGGGGTTGGCAACCAAACTCAGGTGTCTGCATGAGTGGTACTTGCTCTTAACTGCTGACCAGGTCTCCAGCCCTCACTCTGGACATTTTCCACAGTGAAGACAAGAGTCAGACTGGGCTCTGTGATGCTTACGACTCATGGAACCTGGGGCTGGTGAGCCCTGGGCACACGTCCTGGATGTGGAGAGCATCTTCTCACTTCTCAGCATGTTCTCATCTCTCCTCCCTTTCCTCTGTACCAGGAGCATGTTTGGGGCTGTGTCACCAAGTCCCTGTGCCACTTCTGTGATGCCACATTGAGGAGAGCAGTGAGAGAATCTGAGCCGTACCACAGGCCTCGGAGAGCGTTTGTTTTCCAAACACGCTCTGTCAACGGACTCTCAGGTGCAGAGTCAGGATGTGGTTTGAGGTCAAGGTGGAGGAAAAAAGAGCACCACCTGTCACATGACGAACTGGTCCCAGCTTCACCCACAACAGGACAGCATTGTGTTCAGTATTTCAACCCCCTTTCTAGAACATAGTCAGAAAACCAAATAAAAACATGTATTTATGAATAAAAGCTGTGAGAAAAAGGCCAGTCCTTTTTCTTTTCATTGACTTCAGTTTAGAATTGATAAGAAGGATCGTTTCAGTAGATCTTTCCCTGATAAAAATTTTTTGGGGGAGCTGAAGAGATAGCTCAGTAGTTAAGGGCACTTGCTGCTCTTCCAGAAGACCCACCCATGTGCACACACAGAGACAGATTATCAAAATTAATAAACACAAATATTTATTTATTAATTTATTTATTAATTTATTTATTATGTATATAATATTCTGTCTGTATACCTGAAGGCCAGAAGAGGGCTCCAGACCTCTTTACAGATGGTTGTGAGCCACCATGTGGTTGCTGGGAATTGAACTCAGGACCTTTGGAAGAGCAGGCAATGCTCTTAACCATTGAGCCATCTCTCCAGCCCCCAACACAAATCTTTAAATTTGTATACATGTAGTGTTTGTGTGTGTGTGTGCGCGCACGCGCGTGTGTTACAGAGTGCGTGTAAAGGTCAGAGGACAGTTTGGGGGAGTTGATTCTCTCCTCCATGTGGATCTTGGAGACTGAACTTGGGTCATGAGCAAGCACTTTTACCCACTACTCAGTCGTCTTGCTGGCTCTCTGTCTGCCTTCGAAAAAGACCTACCCAGGAGGGTTTTTGTTTGTTGGAGTTTTGAGACAGGGTTTTACTTTGTAGCCCTGGCTGGTCTGTAGATTAGGCTGGCCTCAAACTACCTTAGGTTATGAGGGCTGGGATTAAAGGTGTGCATCACTACATCCTGATCTAGACAAGAGTTTTGAGGAGATATATAGGACAGAAGGTTACTTGCTTTTATTCAAATATGAGATGGGTTATTTATATATTAAAAGAAATATGGCCAATGGCCTTGACCTAGAGCAGTGGTTTCCAACCTTCCTAATGCTGCAATCCTTTAATACATTTCCTCATGTTGTGGTGACCCCACAACCATAAAATTATTTCGTTGGTACTTCATAACTGTAGGTTTGCTACTGTTATAACTGGTAATACAAATATCTGTGTTTTCTGATGGTCTTAGGAGAGCCTTGTGAAAGGGTCGTTTGGCCCCCAGAAAGGTCTCCAGCACAGGTTGAGAACCACTGGCCTGTAGGAACCGTGAGCTGGGCAGAGTGACACACTTGTGTAGTCTCAGCTAATTGGGAGGCTCTGGCAGGAGAACCCTTTGACCCTGTATTCAGTGTCAGTCTGGGAAATGAAGCGAGACCTGTCTCCAAAAGGATAAAAAAGGGGTAGGGGAGAAAAGAAAAAAAGCAATAGTTGCTTAGGATGGAGGGATGATAAACATTTTCCCTGTTGCATGTGTCTCTGCACAGGAAGAATTATCATTAACTAACATGAGAGAAAGTGTTTGGATGTGGGTTACACATCCTGCAACCATGTATCCACACATTTGACTTTAAGACCAGTGAGGATTAAGCAACCATGTGTGGAACACCAGGCCCTGCTCTGAGGCTTTTTCAATCAGTATGTCTGCAAAGGGCCCTGTCTTCCAGGTGAGGAAAGGCAGGCAAAGGCTACTGCAATCCAGGTCAAGGCAGCTAACACCAGGAAGTAGAGAGAGCCTGCCTATTCCTGAGGCCGGGAAGGGTCCAGAAGGGTGATTGACAAGCCTGAAGATCTTGCTGGCTGATTTGTAGACTAGACCTTTAATCCCAGCACTCGGGAGACTGAGGCAGGTGCATCTCTGAATTCCAAGTCAACCTGGTCTACAGTGAGTTTCAGGAGAGTCAGAACTACATAGTCAGACCCTGTCCCCTCTTAGCCCCTCTCAGCCCCCCCCCAAACAACAACAACAAAAAGATGATTGATTTGCAAACCAAAGTTGTGAGACTGAATAGCTCTGGAGTTCAGAGACATTTTCCTCTCTTGAAGAAGTACTGGATAAGCTCAACAACCTACCAGTCAAGGGCTTGGAGGAAGAATCAAGAGAGAGGTATAGAAAGGAGTTGAGTATTTAACCGCAAGTCAGGCTTTGGAGCTTAAAAAAAAAAAAATTACCAAATCAAGGCAGGGCACTTCCTTCTTTGGAAAAGAAGTTCCTATTTTCAACGTTCTTCCAACAAAGCCTTAAGATTAGGGAAGTGGAAGCGAACGGGAGCTGAATTTCCCAGTGCAAGAACCCCTCTGGCCAGGGCTCACTGCAGCCTCACAGCTTCTGAGGGCGGGGCTTGGTGCTGGCAGCGCATTCCGCTGAGCAGTGGAATCTTTAAATACATATTCAGTTCCCAGAAACGGAACTACTCTTCAGAAAGAAAAAAGATTAAAATAAAGTTATGTTTTAAAAAGAGGTTAAAAGGCCTGAAAGAAGAGTTTGAGCCTCGAGTGTCCCAAACCTTAAGCCTTTCTGGGGCTTAATCTGTCTGCAAAAAGCTGCAGCATCCGAATTTCCATTCTCTGCCGGGTGGAGAGTTTTGATTCCAGCACGTGTGAATCTTTGTGAGTTCGAGGCTGCCCTGGTCTACAACACAAATTCCAGGACAGCTAGGGCTACATGGTAAAACAAGGTGATGGAGTGCTTTGCCTAGGATGTTAGGCGGTAGGTTCAATATCAAGCACCACAAGAAAAAAAAATAGAAAGACTAGGGAGTGGATAAAGAATTTAGCTTTCTCCATTTTCCCACGATATGAAGCATATAATTTTAAACTCAACCTCCACATTTGTCGGGAGTGGGTAAAGGGCTTGATGTTACGGCTCCTTCCATTTCTACCTGTCTTACTCTGAGCAAAGCAATGACTCACTCCTAGAGGCACCAAGCCCAGTCCACAAAGAACATGGACGGCAGGCTCGGCTTCTGCCTAGTGCGCAGGTTCTACCTTGGACCCCACCTCTTTCCTTCCACACCTCGCTTCTCCAGCAGAGGGCGCAGGCGCGAGTTTCCTCTGGGCCCCGCCCCGGGTGGCCACGCCCCGTCCCTGAGGGTCGGGGCGGGAGCTGTGGGCGCGGAAACTTGGTCAAGGCTTTCCGGGAGCGGCCGGGCACGCGGGTGCTCGTGAGCTCGCGCGCGCGCGAGTTGGGGGTCGCTGCGGCGTCCG